GCCCTGGTTCGTACCTCTCCGTTCTCTTCGTCAGAAACAAAAAGCAAATCACTAACACTTTCCTCCGTCTTTTTTTTTTCAAACTCTTATTACAATTACGAAATTTTTCCAAGTTTAATATTTTACCTTTGTTATATCTTTTTGCGTTTGAAAACATTTTTCAAAGAATTTGAGTTTTAGTGTTTCATTTAAGTATTGCTCGTACCCAGCGGTCGGAAAAACTACACTATTTTTGTAGTTTACAACAACTACTTTGTTACAAATGTAGTTAACTACAACTACTTTTTTTAAAATAATGACTACAAACTACTACGGAATTGTACAGTCTCTAGCCAAATTATCAGACGTACTCTAAGATTCTCTGTTAAATCTTAATTATCAGGTGATACTCTATACAGCTTTATTGTTTTTACGTGACTGAAACCGGTTTGCACTTGTTTACGTTCGTGTATTAATGGGTTAAATTAGACGATGTATAATATAAATTCGACGACTGAATAAATTAGACGATATATTATANTTCAAATTCCACACATTTTTAACGTGAAATAAACATAATACTGAATCGCAGCACTTGAGAAATGCCAAATTCGAATTTGCACAAAGAAGCCCCCGCTGCACAAAGTAGCCCCGAATGACGGTACGAAATTTTTCCAAGTTTAATATTTTCCCTTTGTTATATCATTTTGCGTTTGAAAACATTTTTAAAAGAATTGGAGTTTTAGTGTTTCATTTAAGTATTGCTCGTACCCAGCGGTCGGAAAAACTACACTATTTTTGTAGTTTACAACAACTACTTTGTTACAAATGTAGTTAACTACAACTACGTTTTTTTAAAATAATGACTACAAACTACTACGGAATTGTACAGTCTCCAGCCATATTATTAGACGTACTCTAAGATTCCATGTAAAATCTTAATTATCAGGTGATACTCTATACAGCTTTATTGTTTTGACGCTGTTTGCACTTGTTTACGTTCGTGTATTAATGGGTTAAATTAGACGATATATAATATAAATTCGACGACTGAATAAATGAGACGATATATTATATAAATATAGAATATTTATTATATCAGGTATTATATTAGTATATAATAATAATTCCACCAAATGACTAGACGCACTGTAGTTTTTTAATAATTGCATGCTTTGCGCGAGTTTATAGGCAATACTTTTATATTTAAACATACACGTAATGGGTTTTTATTCTAGAGATTTTTTACATACTTCCTATTTGTATTTATTTCTAACGTATTGCATTACAATGTTAACCCATTAATACACTAACGTAAACAAGTGCAAACAATAAAGCTGTATATTATCACCTGATAATTAAGATTTTACATGGAATCTTTAGTGCGCGTCTAGTGATTTTGCCAGGGACTGTAGTAACTACTTCACTATTGCCCGGTATACATTTGCTCGATACTCCAAATACTGATGTTTCTTCTAATCTATAGTCACTAAGTATTAAAATATCGAATAAATGTAATTATATCCACGAATAAATGAATATCAAATCGGATGTAATAAATATTTCGGACATTCACCAAAGCGCGACCCATGCGATTGTCAACATTCACCGGTGAAACTCAACAACCACCGATTTCGGTCATTCACAGTAACATGCACATCATTTACATAATGACCTCATCAGGACGTTTATTTCATACTTTGCCTAAATAGCATTTGGCATTCTACAGAATGCCTAAGCAATGTGGGAAATATAAATCATTTCACACTTCGCCGGCTAGTTTTAGGCATTACATACAATGCGTAGGCATTCTGTAGAATGCCGGATTTCATACTTTGTCTGTAACATATACATTAACAAAATGCAAAATAATCTTCAATGACTTTACATGATCGTGATAAACTAACTAATTTCTGACAAAGAACTCCTTTCTTGGTTATATGAGTCGCAAGAGATTTTTCGGTTCGATATCAGTGGGTGGCGAAATGAAGCAGAGTTGTACATGAAAGTGCAATAATCTCACCGAACCCAGCTCTGTAGACGCACATGCGGACTGGCAAGTATTTCATAGAACATGTAAAATGATTGGCGCTTTCATGCGTATGGATCGACAGTTGGCCGAAATGGATTGTCGTTGAATGAATTCTGAAAACGCTGAATAGAACAATGTGAAAAGCTCGCCTTTGCATAATACGTGGCGAAAATCGACATGGTAAGGAAAAAAAATTTTCGAAAAGAGAAAATTGACCTCTTTTTTAAAAACACCCAATGAAAAAAGCACCTTAAAGGACTTTTAAAAAACGTAAATCGAAGATAAGCACCTTTAAGCACTTTTTAAAAAGGCTATGCACCATGTAGTAACAACAAGCTAATCACAAACCTTTTTCCTCTTTTTTTTTTAAATAATCTTTTATTTCAAACATGAAACCTTTTCAAGTATTTTTTCGAACTTTTTTATTTGTTACATCATTTTCTATTTTAAAAAAATATTGAAAATAAGTGGGGTTTTATTGCTCATAATCCTCCGTCCTTCTTGTTAGTAAGAAAAAGTAAATCACAAACCCCACCCTCTCCGAAATGTCTAGGTAACGTTTAAAATAGTCCTGTAATGAGACGCAAACAGATTTCTTTCCCGAGGTTTGACCTTCATTCCACAATCTCAAACTCGAAAAACCATTTTCGCGCCCTCTGCCAGGTGTGCTGGATACATTTTTTTAAAATTTTTTATCGTCTCTCCTTTAAATATTCGTTCACAGTGTGGGCGCTAGGAATTAGGAATAAAGGATAAGCATTATTTTTGTGACTACTCCTTCACATTCGGTAAATATCCTGTTGCAAGCATTATCGTTCGAGCATGCGCAGAATGCTTTCTTAGAATGTCGTAAGAGGTTTTTTAGTGTTTTCCCCTAGAGCCTTAGAATAAAAAAGAAAAATAATTTCTATTCTTTTGATGCTGTAATGTACTTGAGTGAGGAAAAACTGTTCAGAGAACAAAAGCATTTTTTTTTATACATCGTCGAGTAGTTTTCAAGTCTGAAAACAGGTCGAAATACAGGGACCGAGGAACAGGAAGGGGGTAGAGGGCCTTTGGCCCCCCCCTCACATTTTATAGTTTATGGGACGCAGCTCTTTATATTAGAATTTTTCACTCAATATTTGCGCAATGAAATTTTACAATTAAAAAAAGATTCATAATTTTATGGCCTCTAAATTTAAAAATAAATAAATAAATAAACGTTTGTATTTCGAGCGAGCTTTAACATTTTTTCCCTATTACTGATATTAAATTAAAAAATAAAAATAAATAAAAAAAAAACCCAGTAAAACATAATAGAAAAAAAAAAAAAGCGCGTGGAGTCCCTCCGCGCCGAAGAAATTAAACTTTGCAACCTGCGACGTTAATTGTAGAAGAATCAGTAGTCGTAGAAGGATCACTAGTTTTATTCAACGACTCTTTTTCCTGCTCCGCTCGCTTCCGTGCTCTGTATCACAGTAATATTGTGCATATCTTCCTTGTGGACCTCTTGAAACAGTGGAAGTGCTTGTGGTTGCCTCATCGTCTCGCCCTGGAAAATGTATTTGTATTAATAATGTATGTAAATGCGTTATAATGTAATTTCAGAAGAGAAAACCTAACAATCGATTGATATTCACAAGAGACGTACCTAGACATAACCTTAAATCCGTCGCATTGTCCATGGGATTGTTTTCACTCATATTTTACAATTGTTATCCACTAAGTTTGAAAATAAAAAATACTACCCTATTAAATTATATGTGTATCAAAACAAACTAAAAAAAATATTTATATAAAAACAATACTTTTATGACTTTTATTATTTTTATGCTAGTGAGAACCAAAACAATATGGAAATGAATGATGGAAAACTGGATCCTACCACGTGATTTCCCGGCCAATAAAAATGTAGCGTTAAACGTTTAACGCAACCTCGTTGGAAGTCGCATAAGAAGAATAACTTCAAAATACCGTTAAATAAGAGAGGAATAATTTACAGGTAAATTTTTTTTTTTTAATTCGATTTTAATTTTAAAACAAGTCCTGACTGGGTATATCAGTATATTTCTTAGGCAATGTCTTCGTATACTCAGAACTCTACCGATTAAGTCAGTTTTAGAGCGCTGAATTCTTACTACGTAAATTTACTGCCATTATTATAAATTTATAGACAAAATACTACTTTATAAAATACTACTTTAATAAAATGCACTAAGTGATTCATACAAATGGACGTCACAATACGAATTTATTTGGATTTAATAGTCTTTTCTTTAATAAAAAAGAACAATTTTCATAAGAGAAGTTTGAAAAAAAAAAAAGGAATCAAATGCTAGGTCCATTTTTATGGACACATATTTCAAGCAGGGTCCATTTTCATAATGACGTATTATGAGCTTTGGCCATTTTCGTTATCAAGTATTATGAGCTTATTTTATTTTTGTAAAAACGCATTTCGAGCTGTGTCCATTTTTGTAAGCACACATTTCGAGCTGTGTCCATTTTATATTGACCTTTATTTATTGACATTTTTGAAATTCCCTTCCGAGGTGGGGGCGAAATTATGTTTTAAAGTATCTGGGAAAATAAAAAGTGGTAATACATATTTTTATATAGATAATAAATTTGTTTTTTTTTTTCATTCACTTTAATTCTAAAATATTTCATTTTTATTGTCTCTAGATATGCTTGTGATATTTATTTTTTAAACAAAGAGTAGTAAAAAGAAATCTAAAAAAAATTCTTACAAAATATTTTCACAAAAATTGCATAAGTTCGATGAAAACCTCACCCAGAATAAACAATTGTACTGTTTACACTGATTTGCCTGAAAACTATTTATTTTCTCGAAAACTAGATTTATTTATCAATCGTAAATTCTGTGCCTTCTTAGAATTGTGAATGCAAAAAAAAAAAAGTTTCGCGTTATTCTATTATTATTTTATTTTTCTCAAAAGAAAGAGAGATTCGCCAAGACGAGAGCGCCAAGTAGGAAAGTGTTCCAAACCAATGCCAGAAATAACTGTACACATCAGATTTCAAGGGATCAGGTGGTATTTTCCCCATGTAACAACCGGTGCCAGTGGTTGAAATTTGTATGCGACATAACTTCGAAGCCGAAACCACTGGTTGGTGTTTTTTGGTGATCCTTTAAACTCTGGACGGATTACCTGAAAATCGTTAAAGGTAAGAGAATTGAATCCTCCTCATTACGGTCAATTAGATAGAGCACGTTGTTTTCTCTAAGATCTAGATCTGGAGGAGATCGGGCGATTATTTTTAGTATCACACGAGACCTTCGTATGCTTGTAAAAACATCCATCATTAGAAAAGAGAGGATTATTATCGTTTGATTCTGAGATGTGGAGTCGTTAGTTCGAATCCGACTTTCTGAAGTGTCCGACTCCTACAGTTCGTGACCAAATTATTAGACACACTAAAGATTCTATGTAAAATCTTTAATTATCATGCAATACTATACAGCTTTATTGTTTCTACGTGGTTTGCACTTGTTTACGTTCGTGTATTAATTATATAAATTAGACGATATATAATATAAATTCGACGACGGAATAAATTAGACGATATATTATATACAAATATAGAATATTTATTATATCAGGTATTATGCTATAATAATTCGACCAAATGATTAGACGAACTGTAGCTTTTCAATAATGCCATGTTTTGCACGAGCTTATAGGCAATACTTTTGTATTTAAACATACATGTAATGGGTTCTTATTCAAGAGATTTTTTTATAAACTTCCTATTTGTACATATTTTTAGCGTTACAATGTTAGCCAATTGATACAAGAACGTAAACAAGTGCAAACCGGTTTTAGTCGTGTAAAAATAATAAAGTTGTATAGTATTATATTATAATTAAGATTTTACAAAGAATCTTTAGTGCGTCGAATAATTTGGCCAAGGATTCAGTTAGTTTTTTTTAAAAAAAGTTGTGTATTTATTATTTGATTTCATAAGAATTATTCAGCCTATTCGTTCGAATTTTTGTATTTTGTTATTTAATATAACATTCTTTAAAAATTGGTATACCTAAAAATCCGATTTTCTTTTTATCATTTTGAGTAAAATAATAAAAATTATAAAACAATTGTTAAAAAATTATTTTGTGATTGGAATTATCTTCGAATTAAGGAACTTTATAATCGTGAGTAAAAGTTTTTTGATTTTCTTAAAAAGTTCTAAAGATATGGCAAAATATGCAAATTAACTTTAAGGGGTTCAAAGTTTTCATCGTTCCCTTGACCATATTTTTCCAGATAGTGGCTAACTCTACATATTTTTAGTGTCGAAAATTCGAATTAGTCGAGAAAAAAAGAGGTTTGTTCATTCGGAGAAAGTACGTTTTGTTTTTCTTAACTTAAAATATCGTCAAAACTAATGAATTAACATATTCATGATCTGGTCCTTGAACCATTAAGATTGAGATCCAATTATTGGATCAAAAGTTATTTACGGTATTTTTTTGTGCACTGTATGATTATAACTATAGGTATTTTATTATAAATACATTTAATAATGAATGTTCTGATAATCGTGTAAGTATTTGGCAAATATTAGTTTCGCCATAATATTCATCATTTCATAACATTCATTCGAATATTATTTTTGTTCCCATTATTATTCTCCATATTTGCTTAGATAATATCGAAGACTTCTGTTTAACTTAAGGTAAGAAGAATAAGTTAAGTTAAGGTTACGGATAAGTTCAGTTACTTCGAAATTACATATTGTAACTTCTGATTAACTTAAATTATAAGTCACCAGAGTCGGACAAAAGTTTTCAATTTTTCTTATGAGGAATTTAAATTTTACATTTTTTTTAAAAAACCGTTATGAAAATATATATTTAGTAATGGCTTTTTAGTATGTATTTAGTAATGTCTTAGTACCGATTTTTATAATTTGCTTAGCTTAATTTTGAAAAATACGACAATTTAAACAAATTTTCATTGATAAATCCTATACATTTTTTAAAAAATATACATGAAATGAAGAAAAAGAATACCCGTCAAATTCTACAGACGCGTAAGGGGAAAAATTAGAAAATTTTGCCATCGCAATTTTGATCCTCTGCAGAGGGGATGGCTCCCCTGCTTTGGTAGCCCGACGATCTGCGCTCAAAGTCGAGCACTTTACGGTAGAACAGTTTAACGAGGACCAGTACCGCACACCCTCGGTCCCTACGCAGACTGATCTAAGTGCTCACCCACCCGCTTACTGACAGCGGCCAGTGATGCTTGACTTCGGTGTTCTACTGAGAACAGTGTCTTTACAATCAGTCAGTCCATTTCGGAACATTTTTCACAGCAACAAATTTTTAAAACGCGTGGACAATTTTTCAAAATTTGAAAATTTTTTAAAAGATTAAATTTTCGGCCATTTCGATTTCTGAGGTTTCAAGAGAAATTGCTAGATGTTAAAGTAATTTCTTGAAATCTTCAATCATTCTCATTTTTATTCTCAATGAATGCAATAAACATTGCAAGGTTCTTTTCTAAAATAAAAAATTTACGAAAAGAGTGTGAAATAAAGTCATTTTATGAATATTATAAAAGATTCACAAAAACTCCATACTTATTTAAAAAAATTATAACAAATGCAAATAATTTGAATTTTCGACAAGAAAATTGGCGATTTGCAGACTTTGAATAGAGAGCGCCATCTGTAACTTTTAATGAATGCGCATGCGCTCAATGAACAAGGAAGTAGAACGTATGTAACCATCAATTAAGAAACATCATTGTGATAACTTAAAATAAAGTTTTTTAAACTTTAGAGAATCGTTATCAATTAACATTCATATAACAGAGATTTTAAATTACGAGAATAGAGATGGAGAATATCGAATGTTTACCGGGCAGTGGCAATTAACTACACCAAGTATATATTTCGGTACCAAAGCGACTATGGGATTGTCAACATTCACCAGTGGAAGTCATCAACCACCTATTTCGATCATTCACAGTAACAACTATACAAAAATCGTCTTTTATTTTCATGAAAAGAGCAGAAGATAAATCGAAATTACTTTTGAAACAACCCAATAGTAATGCCTTAGACCTAAAATGAAATCCCTCGTGTAGATATAATGTCGTTAATAGCATTTTTTTCGACAGATTAAAAATCGGTACATTCATAAGATCAATATGCAATCGGAAAAAAATGTCGAGTGTGTATCGTAGAGATTTTTCCGACTTCATACATGTCCATAGAATACTATTTATTTGCTGCCAGAAAATATTGATTTTTTTTATTTGGGTACAAATTTCGCAGCACTGGATAAACTTTTGAAGCAAAGTGAAATACAAAACTAAACTAAAGACAAACAAAAATATTTAAATATAATAAAAAGATGTGATCGCCTTATTAAGATTAGTGGTTACCCATGGATTAAATGCTTTTTCTTTCTGAATTGACTCCGTTAAACGCCACACCATTTCAAATCATGGGTTGCAAAAACTGTCCTTCATTGATGTATGTCGTTGGATTGGTTTTTAAATCCTGCCTATATACGTGTTTCACAAAATACTTTTCCTTCTTCAGTATTCATATTTATATTAAAATCACCGCCAAGCCAGTCATTATGCGTTAACAGTAAAATACTTTAAATTATTATTATGTAGGTAAATACATTAAAAATCCCTGCTAGTGAAAATAAAAAGAAAAACAGCAGCAGTCGCCATAGCAACGCATGCAATAACGATGCATGCGCACTGTTTATTATTTCTTGAACACAGTTGAAGAGTGTGTGGAAGCCGTTGCCAAAATTATTTACTAAATAATTTCTTTGTTAATTTGCATAATTTTTCCATGTGCAAATCCATTTCGGGCAAATCCGTGTTAAAATTTTCCACTAAATTTTTTTTTTCTTTGATAATTTATATAATTTTTCCATGTGCAAATCCATTTCGCGCAAATCCGTGGCTAAAATTATTTGCAAAACAGGCAATTTATGTTTCTCTTTTCTATTTTATATTTTTTCTTAAAAAAATATTTATTTTCTAACATTATTTATGGTCAACTTTTTAAATTATCCAGTATAATATTACCTTGCGCACATCCATTTCGGGCCCATCCTTGGTAACTAACAAATCAAAACTCAGAATAACAAATCACTTCAGCAGTGCAGTAAGAACGACACTTTA